AAGCAGGGGGCGGGGCTTCGTCGTGTGCCCCGCCCCCGCACCTCACCCGGGGGAACTGCGATCCCCCGCGATCCCCCCCAAATCTACCTCTGTCTATGTCACCTGGAGTTGTAATCCCAGGAGATTTTCAGACACTACCTGGAGGTTAGCAACCCTAGACTCAGTTGTGACTTGATGGCACATAATTATTGAGAACTCCTGGGCTGTTCTGGATCTCCTGGGCAGGGGTAGGCTGGCTATTAAGGCCATTGGATAAAGTCCTGGGGGCCAACCCACTGGTGCCACCCAAATCTAAATGCCACCTCCTCTGCCAGTTTCACCCCAGCCCAAAGAGAGGGGTGGCCACTAGCTAGAGATGTGGGGAAGGTGGGCTTCCTGCAGCAGGGAATGCAGCCTACCAGCCCAGCCCTCCTGGGCACTTGGCTTGACTGAGCAGCACCTTCGGTTCAGGGCCAGCAAGGCAGGCACTCCCTCCTATTTTAGGAGAAGAGGGGGGCAGAATGGGCTGTGCCCTTTTCTAGGACTGTGTACCCCCCCCCGAACCCACCCCTGCTACAGTTACTTGGTACTACTAGTCAGTTGTGCAGGCTACTGATGCAACATGTAAAATCAGCAATGAGAAAATTGGCCACTGTGGATGCATTCCAAGCAATTGAAACCACAAACATGGGCATGCATTTACTCTAAACTCTTAATCTGAGGAAGGTGTTAGTCCTCTGTCAGACCGCTGTGCTTTTTTGCCTGTTGTTTCCTTTCAGATCAGGTAATTGCCGTGGTTCCAAATCAAATCCTAGACCAAAGTAAGAGACCTATCTTTATGGGCACCAAAGATGGGAAACACGTTCTGAATGTGCAGTCAGGTGATCGACCTCAGCTACAGTTAGCGGTGAGTTTCATTTTTGCTTCCAAGTATTTTTTTGATTCTTAAATAAATGCTTGTTCCTTTTCCCTCCCATATAACTAGGGTTTGTGTTCATTCTATACTAACCTATTGTATTCTGTGCTGAAGTGACTCACCATCAGGGGAAGAATAGTACTTCCGTCTAGTTACCTGCTTTCATATATAAAATTTATGGCAAGCCCTATTGGTTGCCACCTAGTGGCCAAGATTCAAATACAAGTGGATTGAACATGGACTACTCCTGAGTGTGAAGGGGGTGGGTGGGTTGTTTTTGTCCTTCAAGAGGGATGCCTCAGCCTGACTGAGGTGTAGTTGCTAACTTCAGCTTGGGATATTCCTGGAGATTTGGAGGCAGTGCTTGGGGAGGCCATACTTTTGGGAAAGGAATGAGTTCAGCAGTGGCGGATGTCACTGTAGGATTTGTGTTTCTCCTAATCTGCTCTCTGAAGCTGCCATTTGCTCCAGGAGAACTGATCTCTGTAATGTGGATATTAGCCGTATTCTGGGAAAACTCCAAGCTTTATTCAGCCACCTTTCTGAATATATCCTCTAGGCCCCCAGTAGGGGTCAGTCACCAGAGGTCACCATGACTTCCAGGTGCGCGCGCACACACACACAATTTTTAAAAACCCCAAAAGAAAAATATAAAATGACAGTCCCACCCTCCCTCAAGCATCTGGTAATAGCTCTGAACTTCCATGACAAATAGGTGGTCTGGCCCAAACCAAATTGTCCTTTATACAAAAGGGTTTACGTCTGATAGGATGATCCAATGTGGAATGGAAATGAATGAGTTAGTCTAATCTAAACCCCAGGGGTCCAAGGTTCCGGATGCTTTAGGGGGCAGCCCAGGCCTGTAGCCACGGGGAAGGGGACTGTGGAGGGCGATGTCCCTTCTGAATGTGCCCCACACTGTCAGGCGTGCATGACTGGGGTGGGGGGAACAAACCCAAACCATGTGCGAGTAAACTCATGCTGCTTCCGAATTCCTTGCACATGGCTTGGCTTTGCAAAAGTCATTTAAAGAGAACTTTACCTTTAAATTCCTGCCAACCTAGCCGTTCGAAAGCAAGAAAGTGCAAGTAGATAAATAGGTACCACTTCGGTGGGAAGGTAACAGCGTCCCGTGTGCCTTGGTGTTTAGTCATGCCGGCCACATGACCACGGAAACGTCTTTGGACAGCGCTGGCTCTTCGACTTTGAAATGGAGATGAGCACCGCAACCCTAGAGTTGGATTCGACTGGCTTTTGAGCAAGGGAACCTTTACCTTTACCTTTAAATGGCTTTTGCAAAGCCAAGCCACACATGAGTGAACTCACACTGCTTCACCCCTCTCCAGCCATGCATGCCTGCTCTTGCTTGGAAAGAGGAGGCTGAGGGACGCTGTGGCACTGTGAGCAAGCGAGCCAGCCGGCATGCGTGTGAGTGAGTGTGTGTGCATGTGAGCCAGCCAGCCAGTGGGCCAGGGGAGGGGAGAGGAGGGAGAGAGGAGGGGGAGCAAGGAGGAGGAAAGGGGTGGCAGGAAAAGGCAGCGGAACCCCCTTCTCCATTATACCCTGTGGGGACGGTCCCCATAGGGTATGATGGAGCCGATCCCCCTGACACTCACCCTCCTGGCTGTGGCCCTGCCCCTTGTTGCCCCCCTAACAAAAAAACGTCTGGCTACGAGTCTGGGTGGCACCCTTGAGACCTAGTAAGGTTTCTGTCACAGCGTCATGTGCTCTCTCTCTTCTAGTGAAGAGAGATCGTTAGAACGCTTATCTAAGCTTTCCTACCACAGTATAGATAGCTTTATCAATAAAGAATATCCTTCCCTTTCTTCAAGCAATAGGCTTCATGGGGACTATCTTAAGGCGGTCTCCACTCTGCTTATGCACAGCTAGCTCGTGCGAACAATTAAAGCCGTCCCGGAAGCCTGTGACAGAGAGAGTGGGCAGACCCATTTTTCAAATTGAGTGATTGTCATTATTAATATATTTATATATTACCTCTCCACACATCGAGGTTTGCTACGTGATCAAATACAAATTCACAAAACCATTAAAAACCAACTAAGCCAATTTATGCACCAAAAAGAGATCAGCAGTTAAGAATATTAAAGGACAGTGGCGCCTAGAGCCAGCAGAAGACGTACCACTGGCAGAAAATTATCTTGAAACAACAGCATATATCTAACCAAGCCTTCATGTTTTCTTAGGGAAAAGATATTATGGGCCTTTATAAGAACAAGGAGGAAGCCAAGGAGTTCACTTTCTACAACCAGACCAAAGGCAGTGAAGTAACTTGCAGCTTTGAATCAGCAGCTTCCCCCGGTTGGTTCCTCAGCACTGCTTCTGAGCCAAACAAGCCTCTTGGTTTGAGTCAGGGAGGGGGTTCTGATATCACCCTTTTTTATATTGAAAGAAAACCTTAACCAGAATAGCTCAAAGATGTTACCCTTGCTGAAGAGCAAGCAGTTAATACCCATTAGTGTGTCTTTCCTAATTTAGTCTGATACCGGCTTTATAGCTTTTGCTTTAAAATCTGGGAGATCGGTGGTGGTTAGGTGAGGTGTGAGTGGACATGTGGACAGTGACCTGCTTGAACCAAACCCAAAATATGGCCCACTTAAGCAAGCAGGAGCAGCATGTGCCTTGCGCCACAACATTCCGAGGAAACGTTTACAGCTGATTAAAGCTGTTGTTGCGAAGGGTTCAGATTCGTTATCACAACGAAGGGAGTGAAGGATAACACCCACGGGATTGTCACACCTGGCCAGCAAGAGAATGCTACAATCAGCTGCAATTGATAATGTAATTGGTAATGTAATCATTGCATATTGGTTCAGTAAAGGAACGCCAGTGTCTAACTGTATAAAACGGTGTGCACGTGTGCTTTTTGACAAGTTTTTCTTCACTTCACCGATCACGGGGATCCCTTTGATACAGAATGGGCATGTGGCACGCCATAGATTCAGAGGCGGATTGAGCAGTGAGGCTACTGGGAAGAGTCCTGGTGGGCTGATGGCCAGGGGGCAGCCTCCCTACTGGGACCACCTGAATCTGCCACCCATAAGGGTCACTCTAGCCTCAAGAGAGGGTTGAGTGTGACCTAGAGGCGTAGGTAGGGTTGCCAGCTCTAGGCTGGGGAATTCCGGGAGATTTGGGTGGTAGAGTCTGGTGAGGTTGGATTTGGGGAGGGGAGGGACTTCAGTGGGGTATAATGCCATAGACTCCACCTTCCAAAGCAGCCATTTTCTCTGGAGGAACCGATCTCTGTTGCCTGGAGATAATTTGTAATCCCAGGAGATCTCCAGCCACCACCTGGAGGCTGGCAACCCTAGGTGTGGGGAAAGCAGGCTCACTGCACCCATTCTTGCCCGGCCATATCCTTGCTGCAGCGAAGGATGGGATACAACCCCTGGCCTCACGGGGAGTGATGGGATGCACTCCCCATGCAACTTTTTTCTGCTTCATTTCTACAAAATGATGTAAGTTAGAAAGGAAGAGGGAGCAGAAAAAAGTTGCAGAAAAAATGCAAAGGGTGTAAGGTCTCATCTGATGAAACCTTGAGTGAAACGGTCTATGGAGCGCTGTACCATCAGAAAAACTTGAGACCAATTTACTTCAAAGGAAACACCTTTAATGATTTGTTACTCACTGGATAATTAAAGAAGATATATTTTTCCTCAACAAGATTTCGTTCTCATATCACGGTTGTTTTTCCTCACTAAGTTCATCCACCTGGAGACTGGCAACCCTAAAAGTACACCATGGCTTGTACTGTCATGAGGTACAGAGTTAGGACAGGGTCCCAGTCTTGGATAAACCTTGGCGGGGGAGGGTGTGTGAGGTTCCCCAAACCCACCAGCAGGGGAATGCTCCCTGGGGGCTGCTAGGCAGCTTAAGTTAGGGTTGCCACCTCTGGGTTGGGAAATTCATAGAGATGGGGTGGGTGGAGCTTGAGAAAGGCGGGGTTTGGGGAAGGGAGGGGCTTCAGCAGGGTATGTTGCCATAGAGACCGCCCTCCAAAGCAGACATTTTCTTAGGTTTGCCAGGTCCCTCTGGGCAGCTGACGGGGGATGGGAGCTTCATTGCACGTTCTGACAATGTGCCCACGTGACTTCCAGTGTGACCCACAAGTGACGTAGGCACGTCGGGGGACATCAGGGTGATGCTCTGGTTTGGGGGGCAAAAACTCTATGGTAGATTAGCGTCTCTCATAAAGTTTTTGCCCCAAAACCAGAGTGTCATTCTCACATCCCCACATCACTCCTGGGTCACGTTGAAGTCATGTAAGCATGTAGCTGGAATGCCGAGTGTTCCTCCTGTGTTTTGGGGGAAATCCCCCTGCCAGCCAGCTGATTGGCAGCAGAGAGGTGGGACCTGGGGTCTGGCATCCCTGGGGAACTGATATCTGTCAGCCAGAGAGCAATTGTAATACCAAGAGATCTCCAGGCCTCACCTGGAAGTTGGCAACCCTAAGGTGGAGCCAGTGGGTTGGCCTTCTGCTTCCTCCTGGCTTGGGCCACCCATGAGCACACCACATAGGTTCATGATGAAGGAAATCCCTCCCCCCCCCTTTCCTCTTCTGGCCTACAGTTATTTTCTCCTCTGCTCCCTGTGTTTATTTTGAGACACCGTAGCCTTCACCAAGAATTTACTTAGGAATGTGATTTTTAAACCCTTCCAGTCTTTCAACCACACCTTCAGTCAAATTATACATAAACATTTCCTTAATGATATTACCGAAAATACCCCTCCTCCTCCCCGCTGGTTCATTCTTTCTTTTTCTGAAACCTGCCTTAGTGAGTGGGGCAGGGAACCAGTTCCTGAACAATGTACCAGGAACTCTCCTTTGCTGATTAGTTTATGCAGCAATGAGGAAATTCTTCTCTATTGTGAATCTCTGCTGTCAATTGTGCCCTTTTGGCTGGCAAATTTAGGCTTGTGGCAACCAAGGAAGGTGAGGCTTTTTAAAAGTATATCTCAGGATTTGTACCTTTGACAATAACGGGGAACAAATTAACACCATCTATGAGTATTGGAGGGTATTGGAGGAAGTAGCAGAGGAAGTGATATCATTTGAGCATAACCAGGGAGCTGATGGGGTACTGGCAGCCCCTCCCCAACCTTGGATAACAAGTCCACTTTCATCTGAAGAGAGCGGGAATGCTTTGACTAGACCATGTCACCCGCTGGGACCAGCTGATCAAGGAACCATGTTTACCATGGAGTGATCCCATAGCTGACTTGTAGCTACCAAGCCCTGCAATGGTCATCTGTTACATCAGGGTCACAGGAAAGAGATATTTGTTTTTGTTTACTAAATTTGAAGTGTTTCTTTTAAAGACTTGCTACCTTGATGTAGTCATATGGAGCGCTAGCACCATTGCTCTGGTGAAGAAGGCCCAGCAGAGGCTCTTTTTTCTCAGACTTTTAAAGAAAAATAACTTGAGTGAGAAAACATTGATGTCTTTCTATCGCTGCTCAATAGAGAGCATTTTAACATATTGTGTTTGTGCCTGGTTTGCCAGTTGTACGGCTGTGGAGAGGGAAGCACTCCAGAGAGTTGTTATTACAGCCCAGAAGATCATTGGCTGCCCTCTCCCATCCCTGGAGGAATTGTATAGTTCTCGATGTTTGAAAAAAGCAAAGAACATTTTGCAGGACTTGTCACATCCTAAACATTCCCTGTTTGAACTGCTGCCTTCGGGCAGAAGATACAGGACAATTAAAGCAAGGACAAATAAATTAAAAAATAGTTTTTATTTGAGAGCTATTATTGCCTTAAATTCTGTATGAAATTGGAATTTGGGTGACATTGGTGGTTTTAAGTTGTTATGTGAACCTTAAGGAAGTTATGGGACAGTAGTGAATGGTGTGTGAGTGTATATGAATATTGTTGTAGATCACCGAAATGATTGCATCTTTAATTTCGTTGTACTATGTACAATGACAATAATTTTTTTATTATTATTACTATTATCATCATCATCATCATCATCATCATCATCATCATCATCATCATCATCATTATTATTATTATTATTAACAGGCTAGGATCACTGCCTTATTTTAGTTCATATTCTACCCCAAGTAGCTCAGACGTACCTACCACGGGCAAGGAATCAACTCCCTCCAAAAGCAGTTTCACTGCTGTTCAGTTTCAGGGAGTGCTGCGAACCTTCTCCAAACTCCCTCCCTATGTGTTCTATATTAGAGCTCTGCCTCCTTCACAGTGACGGGTGCCTATCTGTCAGACTCCTCCTTGCATCATAATAAGCACGCTTTTGAAGAAAAGGTAACTTTATTAGAGCTGAAGGTGCATAACAGGGTCACTGTTCAGAATGGAGAATACAAGCAATGGAAAAGCATATAATCAAACATTCAAACCACTACTACCCAATTGCGGGGCTTCCCGCGCGCTTGCAGGCTTTTCCCGCTCGTGCCTTTGGGCATGAGAACTAACGGTTCCAAGCCTCTCATGTTATCTTTTCTCACGGTGATTCATGAGAGTTTCCCGCACTAATGAGCCTTGCTTCCACCTGTGGCCTTGGGGAGATAATACTGTTACGGCGAGCTAAAAAGCCATGCACATCTACAAGTCTACACATACAGGGGCAAGCGCACACACATACACAACAGAAAATAAAACATTGGCAGCTTGCTGACATACTGCCCCCTTGAAAATCAACTTTACACCACATACTGCTAATCTCCCGGTTAACCCGGGAGATCTCCCGGTTTGTCCGGGAACTCCCGGTGAAATTTTCAGAGCAACTGAGGGGCCTGAATATCCCCTACTTCCACCCATTCGAGGTGTTGGGGACCAAAACCCTTCAATTCCACCAAATAAAACAGTTTTCCACGTTTCTGCTTTGAATCGAAGATCTTAGAGATTTCGTAATGTTCATCCCCCTCAATCAAGATGGGGGGAGGCATTGGTCTGGCATCTCGCCACTGGCACGACCCTGTATCTTTCTTCAGAAGGCTGAAATGAAATACAGAATGCAAAGCTCTCAAATTCTTCGGCAAATCAACAGCAACGTCATTTATTACCTTGCGAACCTTAAAGGGCCCAATGAATTTCTACCCCAATTTCCTGCTGGGACGCAACATCTTAATGTTCTTAGTGGAAATGTACACAAAGTCACCAGGCTGCAGAGCCCAACCCTGCACCCTCCTCCTGTCAGCCTGAGTCTTACAGTCCTCTTTGGCAGCGTCCAATGTCTTTTGTAAGAGGGGCCAAGACTCTTGCAAGGTCTTGCACCAAGAGCCTGCATCTCCCGACCCCACCTCTGTTGTCCCCTCTAAAAACGGCAAGGGTGGGCTGTCATAGCCATAAAGCACTTTGAAAGGTGACAGCCCAGTGGACGTGTGACAGGTGTTGTTGTAGCAATATTCGGCGAGGAGCAATAAATCATGCCAGTCATCTTCTTGATAGTTCGTGAAGCACCTGAGATATTGTTCCAAAGTTTGATTAACCCTTTTGGTTTGTCCATCAGTTTCGGGGTGGTATGCACTACTCAAACCCCTCTCCACCCCCATAATTTTCATCAACTCCCCCCAAAACTTGGAAACGAATTGGGAACCTCTGTCTCATATTACTTTGCTCGGCAGCATATGGAGTCTCACGACATGGAGCATGAAAGCCTTAGCGAGGGCTTTGGCCGTAGGCAACGAAGGGAAGGGGACGAAATGAGCTTGTTTAGAGAATAAATCCACGACCACCCAAATCACAGTCATGGACTTGCTAGGTGGAAGGTCCGTAATGAAGTCCATAGAGATGACCTCCCAGGGTCGCTGAGGAGTGGGAAGGGGTTTAAGCAAACCGGGGACCTTCCCAGGATGAGGTTTACTC